CTGCGGGATGAATGCATCAGGTCCTTTTTTTATTTGCATTTTGAGGTGCTGTGCTGGTATTCTGCAAAGAAGAAAAAATCATGCTTTAATCCCTTTGCAAGTGTGGTAATGAACCAAGATTTCTACTCAGTTCTCTAACCTGCTTCTCTACGGTAGTCTCAGTCTCAGTGAATGGTGCCATCGGGATATCTTGGCTATCATTGAAGTCCAGAGCTGCATTAACTAAATCTTATAGGGTCTGCCTTTTTATTATCTCTTAAATCTGACCCTTCTTCCTTATTTTTATTGCCCTGGTTTTTTTTTTGGGTGTCCCTTATTTCTTATCCAAATTAACATAGGAGCTGCTATTCTGCATCCTATTGCTGCCGTTCTATTTTTATTTCTATTTCAAACATAATGAATGATGTCAGTATTCTACGTACAATCCTGAATGTTCCATGTAATATTCAGGATAAAGTTAGGTTTTTATGGCATAGTCCACGATAACTAACATCTGCTTGGCTTACTGGTCCTGTTCTTTTGTGTTCTCACATCATTGGTTTGTCAGCCAATACCAACACCTGTAGTCTTCTGCTCTTGTTCTGCTTGGGGTTTTACACACGCTTTCCTTGTCTCTGGAATAACCTTATTGACCTTCTTTATTTGCCTCACTCCTGATCGTTTTTGCAGACTCAACCCAGGTGTCTTCATTTCTGGGAACCCGCCTTAATCTTATGGTCTGAGTTTTTCCCCCTAAGGTTTATTTCCCAAAGCACAATTGTAGACCAATATGTCAGCCATTATGGCATTATATTATAACTATATAGTTTTTGTTTTTTAACTTGGCTGATACCTTACTTGATGTCTTTCTCACCATGCTGTGAGCATTTTGAAAGGAAGAAGGTATGTCATCAATTTTTCAATTTCCAATGCTCAGCACAGTGTCTGGTATATAGCAGATGTCTATAAATCTTTGTTGAGAGTGCACAGATCCTGTGTACTGTCCACATGGTTCACAGGTGGTAACAGACTAGTGTTCAGGTTGTGTTTAGTTGACCAGAGAGATTTGGAACTAAATCATCACTGCTGCATCAAATTGAAATTGATTGAAGATTTTTGGTCTCTGAAAGATGGCAGATATAGTTTGACTGTGGATTGTCTTGGTGGAGGCCGAAGATTTTACATCTAAGCTGTAAGAGAAGGGTCAGAAAACATTTTGACCCTCTTCATCTGAGAACATTTATCCTGAACATAGGGGCTAACACTCTCCTAGAATTGATTACCAAATCTACCTTTGTTCCTACCTCACTCATTTTGAGACTAAGAAGCAGTAAATCTGGGTTGTGTTGGAAACAATGTCCAAGATTATTCTTAAGATGGTGAAGAATTCCCTAGATCTGTTTTCGGAGGCTGGGTGATAATTAGAACGAACAGATAGCTTTATTTGGGACTACATAGAAGCTGAATTGTCAAAACTTCTAGTCTCGTTTGTTGGTCGGGTCAAAGACTTTGATACAGATTCTTTATTAATTAGCATACAGGGTAAGTTGCTAGAAGAAAGATACCTCAAAATACAGCCTCTCATGTAACAGTTCAGAATGGCGTGGCCAGTCCAGGGTGGGTATGTGTTCTGCTCCCTGAGGTCATCGATGGGCCTTAGTTCCTTTTGTCTTATTGTCTTTGATTCTTTGGGTCAAAAGTTGGCAAACTCTATTATACTTTGAATTGCCTGGAGGATATGCTTGGCTAAGTTGCCAAGTTTCTGATTCAGGTCTGGATGGGTCCTGAGAACGTGCATTTCTAATTTTTCAGGAGATGCTAACGCTGCTTGTCCTGTAATGACACTCTGAGAACCACTGTCCTAGGGTGTGGACCTTGTCCACTTGGTCAAAGCTGGTTTGCCTGCACTGTGCCCATGCTCCTGCCCTGGAGGAAGGGGCAAAGGAAAAGAGCAAGAAGTAGAGCACCCCCATCTGTCTGAAGAAATGGTCCCAGAAATTGCTCAAATTTCATTGGCAAGATCTTTGTAGCGTAATTGTCTGCAAGGGAGGCTGCGTAACTTCTGGCTGACAGATCACGTTCCCAGCTAAGACGTGGGCACTCCATTGCCAAAAGGAAGAGGGGGGTAAATGTGGTGTTTGCCCAGCTCTACCCATGTATAGGCAGTCATACGTACTCCTCTGCTCTGGGATGTGGAGGTAGGAGACTCTCTGCAGGTTCAGAGAAGTTCTCCCAGGACTCAAGAAATGCCCTGAACTCAGTCAGGTTTCTAGGTAGTCCTCAGACCCTTGAACTTGGCTTGGGTACCATGGCAGTAGTGGCCCAGAACATTGATTTTCCTCTACCCCCTGCTGCCCTCCTCCTTTTTCTTTCTCTGACTCAGATCTCCACAGCAAGTGGCCTATTTTTTTCACAGCTGATATTATAGCAACTGTGTTATTATCCTGCTGATGGTGGTTGGATGCTCAAGGAGGAATAAAATTCTGTCCTTCTTCTAGGTAGATAAATTCTTAAACCTATTTCTCCAACTTGAAGTATGACCTTCAAAAACATGAAATTGTTTTAACCTGCCAGGCTGCCCAGCACAGAGAGTGAAAGAACAGCATTGTCTCTAATAAAAGGATTTCTTAGATGTAATAAAAGTGGTTCCTAATGTGGGTTTTACTGACCTATGAGTAAAAGCTAATATATATTTTTTTCATTAAAATTCTCAGCAGCAGAGTTCACATTTTGTCAACAAAAAGCCAGTGAACTTCAAGGTTTTGCTCTCTCTGGGTATTATTAAAACAACATTTTTCCCACTTGCTAAGTTTTCATGACACTAAATTCTATTTCCATTGAAATTCATGCAGCATCATTCTTTTTAAAGGAGGTTGTGGGAGAAGGATTAACTTAGTCTGTTTCTCTATTGCTAACCTACATCTTCATAATCCATAAAAGCCTAGTCTAACATCACCCCGGTTGAACTCGTTTTGTGGCTGTAACATGATTTGAAGTTGAATAGCATTTTCCTATAGAGGACAGTAGCCAAGCTCAGCCTCTGGAGTCTCAATGCCTGCTTTCAAATCCTGGCGCTTACTGTGAGTACTGGAATGTTTTATTTGTAGTCTCTAAGTCTCGGTTTTGCTCAGTAAAATGGGGATACAAATCTTGCATACCTCATAGGGTTACAGAAAAATTGTTCTGACACTTGTTAAAATGGCAAAGAAGACTTTATTAGAGACTGTTGCATTAGGAGTCATGACTGTCACAATAGGGGAGAAAGATCGGATGCACGTCTGAATACAACAAAGGCTATAGTGTTGGGGAGGTGCAAATTAGAGGATGGAAAATTACTAACAGAAGACATCAGGGTAGGGGGATTCCTGCTAAACTGGCTTAACAGATTCTTACTAAAGGCAGGACAAGGATTTAGATACTAAAGGTGGTGGATGAGGAACTTGATCAAATACCAGAGGAGAGGGATTCTTGCTACACTGATTTAGTAGGATTCAGGGGCCGATGTCAAAGCGTAGTCCAGAGGAGGGCTCAGAGGAGCCTGGCTAAACTTTATTCAAGGAGAGAGTCTGTCAGTTGTGAGGCTTGAATTAAATGATTCATGTAACAATATTGGGTCAGTCTCTAACGCACTGTAAAGGGTAATTCAAGGTGAACTAGTATTATTATTATTAAAATGAATAATGATTATTTCTCCCTGCCATCTCATCAGTATATATAAATAAGAGAAATCTTTCATATCAAAATTCAGAGTAAACGCCATTCAGGTGTCTTCTTGGATTTACCAGGAGAAGTGTTTAAGGTTTTTGTCTACTCTGGCTCCCCTGATAGGATGTGTGGTGAAAGGAGAGATTCTGCTCAATGACCTGGGAGCTGCAAACGGAAATTAACTTTGGGTCTGGGCGCTGAAACTCAAAGGTGATGATGGATAACCTTCTTAAAGTCAGATTGTTTGTTTTGCTATTGAGTTGTATGAATTCCTTATATATTTTAGATATTAACTCCATGTAAATAAATGGAGTTTGCAAATATTGCTCCCATTCTATAGGTTGCTTTTTCATTTTGTTGATTGTTCCTTTTGCTATTCAGAAAGAAGCTTCTCAGTTTAATGTAGTCCCACTTGTTTATTTGGATTCTGTTATGCGTATTGTTGGTGTCATACAAAATCATTGTCAAGACCAATGTCAAGGAGTTTTCCCCTAGGAGTTTCACAGTTTCAGGTCTCACATTTAAGTCTTTAATCCACTTCAAATTAATTTATATTATTGGTGTAAAAATAGGGTTCAGTTACTTTCTTTTGCATGTGAATATTCAGTTTTTCCTGTAGTTTATTGGCTCTGTCCTTTCCCATTGTTGATAACTATGGGCTTTATAATATATATATATATAATATATATATATATATATAATATATTATATTATATATATATAGCTTTTATTATGTTAAGACATGTCCCTTCTATACCTATATTGTTGGGAGTTTTATTTTTAATCGTAAAATGATCTTAATTTTGTCAAGTTTTGTGTGTGCATCTAATGAGGTGATCATGATTTTAATCTTTCATTTTGTTGATGTGGTGTATCATGTTTATTGATTTGCATATGTTGAATCCTCTTTAAATCTCAGGGATAAATACCACTTGGTAATGGTATATAATCCTTTAAAAATGCTGTTTAATGTGGTTTGCTAGTATTTTGTTGGGAGTTTTTGCATCTATATTCTTTAGAGATATTTGCCTATAATTTTCTTTTCTTGTACAGTCCTCTTCAGCTTTGGTATCAGGGTTATGCTGGCCTTATATAACTTGTTTGGGAGTGTTCCCTTCTCTTAAATGTTTCTGGAAGAGTTTGAGAAGGATTGCTATTAACTCTTTAAATGTTGGGTAGAATTCACCAGTGAAACTATCTAGTCCTTGACTTTTCTTTGTGGAAGTTTTTTTACTTTTAATTTTATTGAATATATTTAACATGTAACATTGTGTAAGTGTAAGGTGTGCAGTGTCTTACTTAGATACAATTTACATAAAGATATGAAATGATTTAGGAATTCTCATTTCATCTTTGCATGGGGGCTTGCTAGTCTTCTCTGTATTATTCCAATGTTAGTATATGTGCTGTGGAAGCCAGCACAGGGGGGTTTTAATTACTGATTCAATATCCTTACTTATTTTGTCCTGTTTAGATTTTTCTACTTCTTCATAAGTCATTCTTTGAAGGTTGTATGTTTCTAGAAATTTATCTGTTTCTTCTAGATTATCCAATTTGTTGGCCTATAATTTTTTGTAGTTGTCTCTTATGATCCTTAGTGTTTCTGTGTATTAGTTGTAATATCTCCTCTTTGATTTCTGATTTTATTTGGATCTTAATCTCTTTTTTCTTAGTCTAGCTAAAGGTTTGTCAATTTTTTTATCGTTCAAAGAAAGCCAGTCTTCAGTTTGTTGATCTTTTATGTTGTTTTTCTCATCTCCGTTTCATTTATTTCTGTTGTGATCTTAATTTCCTTCCTTCTGCTAACTTTGGGCTTAATTTGTTCTTTTTTTTAGTTCCCTAAGGTGTAAAGTTAGATAGGCTTTTTTTTAGATTATTTTTTATTATTATTAATATAGGTGTTGAATGCTAAATCTTCCCTTTTAGAACTGCTTTCACTCCATCCTATTAGTGTTGGTATGTTGTGTTTCCATTTTTGTTTGTTTCAAGGTTTTGTTTTTTTTTATTATTTTACTTTTAACTTCTTTGATCCATTGGTTGTTCAGGAGCATGTTCTCTAAATCAGCATATTTTTGAATTTTTTATGTTTCTTACTGTTATTATTTCTAGTTTTATTCCATCATAATTAGAAAAGACACTTGATGAGTTTAATTTTTTTCATATTTTCTAAAACTTGTTTTGTGACTTAACATATGATCTATCCTGAAAAATGTTCCATGTGCACTTGGAACAATGTGTATTTTGTTGCTGTTGATTGGAATGTTCTATGTATGTCTGTTAGGTCCATCTGGTGTCAAGTATAGTTCAAGTCCAATTTTTTTCTTATTGGTTTTCTGGCTGGATAAGTATCTATTGTCAAAAGTGAGCTATTGAAGTCACTATTATTATTATTATTATTATTATTATTATTATATGTATTGTTGTCTAGTTCTCTCTTAGATTTGTTAGTATATACTTACTAATATTTAGGTGCTCAAATGTTGGGTGCACATATATTTACAATGGACCCAATTGTTATATTCTTTTGATGGATTGACCCCTTTATTATTATTTAATGACTTTGTCTCTTGTTATAGTTTTGGACTGAAAATCTATTTTGTCTGATGTAATTAAAGCAACTCCCATTTTCTTTGGGTTTCCATTGGCATGGAATATCTTTTTCATCCCTCATTTTGAGCTTATAGATAGATGTTCATAAAATTAAATGAGTCACTTTATAGGCAGCATATAGTAGTTGGTTTCTGTTTTTTTATCCATTCAATAGGTATTCAGTGCCTTTCGATGAGAGAATTGAATCCATTTACATTTAAAATAATTATTGATAGGTAAGGACTTACTAATACCATCTTATTGTCTTCTAGTTCCCTTGTTCCTTTCCCCCTCTTTCTGTCTTCCTTTGTGAACTGATGATTACTTGTAGAGGTATGCCTTGATCTCCTGCTGTCTATCTTTTCTGTATCTACTGTATGTTTTTTTTAAATTAATTAATTTATTTTTGTTACAGATGTTTGTGCTTTTTCCCCCATTGACACCCTCTTCCCGCTCCAGCCCCACCCCCACCTTCACAGTATTGTTGTGTGTGTCCATTGGTTATGCATATATGCATATAAGATTTAACCTAGGATTATCCTAAGAAGCCTAAAACACCAGTCAGAAAGAATATATACACCTCTACTGTATATTTTTATTTATTTTTAAATATGTATTTATTGAATTTCTAGAGAGAGGGAGGAAGTGAGATGGAGAGAGAGAGACATTGATTGGCTGCCTCCTGCCTGCACACCAAGTTGGAACAAACCCACAACCTGGGTATGTACCCTGACCAGGAATCAAACCAGTAACCTTTTAGTGCTTGGATGACACTCCAGCCAACTGAACCACACCAGTCAGGGCTCTACTGTATATTTTTGCTTTGTGGTTATGATGAGGCTTACATATAACAGTTCATTTTAAGCTGGTAACAACCTAGAGTCTACACAGCTTACTTCTTCCTCCCCCATTTATGTTTTGATGTGACAGTTTACATCTTTTTTATATTTTTGTATTATTGACAAACTATTGTAGCTATAGTTATTTTTAATACCTTTGTCAATTAAACTTTTTTTTTCAATTTTTTCTTTTTCTTTATTAATTTTTAGAGATAGAGGAAGAAAGAGGGAAAGAGAGGTAGAAACATCGATGAGAGAGAACATTGATTGGCTGCCTCCTACATGCCCCCCACTGGGGATCAGGCCCACAACTTGGGCATGTGCCCTGAGCGGGAATCAAACTGGTGACCTTTTGCTGCATGGGTCGATGCTCAACCACTTAGCCACACTGGCAGAGCTCAGTTAAACTTTAAATTAGCAATAAATAATTAACACACCTCCATAGTATACTATTTGGGTGTTCTCAATTCAACTATATACTGACCTTTATCAGTGTGTTTTACATTTTCATATGTGTTCATGTTACTAATTAGCATCCTTTTTCTGAAGGACAACTTTGCCAAATATGTTATTATTTGTAGGTTTTCTCTTCGTCCAGCACTGTCAATATATCCTCACACTCTCCCCTGGCCTTCAATTTTCCTGCCTAGAAACCTACTCAAAGATCTTTTCCCCCCTCTTAATGCTTTAAAAATGTTGTCTTTGATTTTAGAGTTTTTTATAATGTGTCTCCGAGAGGATTTCTTTAAATTGACTTTGTTTGGTGACTTATGAATTTCACGAACTTCGATGATCAGATTTCTCACCATATTTGGGGAATTCTCAGCCATTATTTCTTTAAATAAGCTTCCTGCCACTTTGTTCCTCTCTTCTCATTCTGGGATTCCACTGATTTACTTATTGTTTCTATTAAGGGCATCACCTATTTTCTGTAGGCTTTCTTCATTTTTTAAAAATTACTTTACATTTGTTTTCCTCTGACTTGATAATTTCAAATTTTGTCTTCTACCTTACAGATTCTTTCTTACGCTTTGATGGAAGTCTGACACTGATGCTCTCCATTGTATTTTTTATTTCATTTATTGTGTTCTTCAGCTCCAGTATTTCTGTTTGGTTCTTTTTTAATGATTTTTATTTCTCTGTTAAATTTCTAATTTTGTTTATGTATTATTTTCCTAATTTAGCTGAATTGTTTTCTGTGTTTCTTTTAGCTCACTGAGCTTCTTTAAAACAATTATTTTGAATTCTTTCTCTGGCAAGTCACAGATCTCCATTTATTTGGGGTTGGTTACTGGAACATTATGATAGTCCTTTGGTGGTATCATGTTTCTTTATTTTTTCATGTTCCTTGAAATCTTGTGTTGCTATATTTGAATTTGAAGAAGCTGTCACCTTCTCCAGTCTTTAATCCTCACCCGATGATATTTTCCCATTTATTTTCAGATAGAGTTGGAGGGAGGGGGATAGAGAGAGAGAAATGTATTGATTGCCCCCACACGACCCTGACCAGGGCCGGGGACCAAACTGCAACTGAGGTATGTGCCCTTGACTGGAATTGAATCCACAACTCAGTTGTCCATGGGCCGACACTCTAACTGCTGAGCCAAACCAGCCAGGGCACCTTGTCTAGTCTTTACTGACTGACCTCTTCAATATGTCCAATTTCAGATTTGTTTTTGCTCCAACTTTTCTGCTTGACTCGGACTTCCAACAAAGACCAATGAGTGATTGTCAAAATCAGTGTTCTTTATGGGGAAGACGATAGAAAACTCCTATTTTTCGATTTTGATGATGTTGTTTTCTGAGTTACTCTGTTTTCTTTCACATTATTGTGGTTCTAGCTCTTGTTACAAGAAATCTGAGAAATATGCCTTTTAGAAATGCTAATACTGCCTCAATTACAAGTACTTCCTAACTATCAGAAAGTAAATTTTAATAGCAAACGGAGAACATTATCTTATTCCATTAATGACAATTTCTTCCCTTTCATACCCGTCTTCCTACAAGTGCCCCTGCTTTGAGTGCTGCCTTCAGACAACGTGGGTCTCTCTGCTGCTGCTGCTCTCCGCTCGTGTGTCCACTCCCTGTGCTCCCTGTTGTCCTCTGACGTGGGCCCTGTGTCCCGTCCGTCTTCACCTGGCTTCTCCGGCTTTTAATAGGAAAGCACCTTATTTTCTATCCTTCATTCAAGTAGAACTGCTTTTAACATTGTAGTGATATATGTGTGTGTGTGTGTGTGTGTGTGTATATCTCATATGTGCACACAGCTCACTGAATTTTCACAACTCAACATATCCCTTCAACCAGGCAGGATACCAGCTCCCCTGAAACCTCGTTGGTGTCAGTCACCAATTCTCTCTATTACCCTTGCCTATACCAAAGGTAACCGCATCCTAACTGCTAACAGTGCATTTTAGTTTTGTTGTATTTTTGTACTTTTATAAGTGTAATCATGCAGTATATATTATTTTGGCTTACTTCTTTTGCTTATCCCGTGTGTGAGATTCATCTATAGTGTTGAAATGTTAAGTGTTCCTTCTCATTGACGTATGTACTCTTTGTGTGACAATATTGTTTTATTCATTTAGGTATCATAAGAATATTAGGCAGTTTCATATTATCACTATGTTGAATAATGCTGCTAATTAAAAAAAAACAGATTTTAAAGCTTCTGCTATTACAGTTGGAAAGAATATTTAGAAAGTGACAGTTACTATTATAGGTTGCCTGATGGGTAACCTCAGGGAACAGAACACTGTTCATTGCTCCTCCTTACATGTATAATCAGCCTACTGTTAGCATTTCAGTACTGAGGAAAACAGGGATTCGAATGCAGCCGGAACCAGTGTGCTCCCATTCACTGTTACTGAGGGTGTTTAGTAGAGTTTATCAGGAGATAGTTCTTGGCAGGAAATCAATAATTTGTTGTAAGATCTTATCAAGAACAGGGAGTGGACATTGGTTTGAGAAGGAAGTCAGAGCTTTAACTGGTTA